GATAAAATAACGAAGGAAATACTCTAATTATATTGTCTTAACTTGTAAAACAAAATAGCTTTAAATGAATCTCAAGGTTATTCCCCATCTTCTCTCGAGTCAATCACACATCTTGAACATCTGTAACATTATTTGCTCACGTATAACACATTATAAGATCATCGTCGATAATTTCAATCACAAACACACAAACAAAAGCATGTATGGGATAAGCTACCGATAAAAAAAATCATAACAACAAGATACATACATACTGATTATATCAACCATAAGCAAACACACAAGATACATATCTTCTGATTATACCAACCATAATTAAACACACAACAAGATACATACCTTCTGTATATATCAACTATAATCAAACATCTCATACATAGTAGTAATAAGAATAGGATTCCTAATCCTCTAGTGTTTTCAATCAGCCAAACTAACTAAGCATAATGCTTACAAATGAGAACCAAGAAGATGAAAATTTTCTAAAATAGAATTGTTGATGCGAGTATGTTTTCTTCCAAACTAGACCTTTGATTGATAATCGGAACCCACTGTCCAAAAATCAGCGTGATCCAATGTTGAACACCTTCATAATGGCGAAAACACCAATGTAGATTTTATGAAATTCTCTAAAACTAAGCTGTTGATGCGAGGCTATTTTGTCCCAAACTAAATCTCTGTTTGACGATCCGAATGGTCATAATAAAGAACCATAATTCTAGAACCCATTGTCCAAAGATCAGCCCGAGCCAACAGTGACCGACTTCAAAACGATGAAAACACCAGTGCAGGTTTTATGTTTTGCGGGAATGACTTATTCTCTTCCTTTCTCTCTCACTTGCATTTTCTCTCTCTTCAAATGACTCTAATGTGTCCTACTAATCTGACTCATCTCCACTAAATTAAAATGAGACTTAATGATCCACATTATATGACCTATTCTCCACATAGGAAGGGAGCCCAATAACCCAACACTTGTAACATATATTTGCATAGAAACCCCCAATCATCATAACTTTGTTCTCCCTTAGCATTAAACCCTTTGTGGGGATAACTCAACAAAACATACATAATACATTCATAGGAGAAACTCATCTCAAATACTACATAAACCCTATGTCCATTCATACACAAACTTTTATCTAACAATAACCACAAATAGTCATAATCATATACTCATGTATCAAAACAAGGATTATCAATCAAGATAATCAAGAACACATATAACATACAACCATAAACAAACAAAGATAAGTTTTCTCATACCTTGGTCAATCTTAAGACTTTATTTACAACCCTAAAACACCATCAATGTTCCTTTACACTAAGAGTTTCATGTGGCTCTCTCTCTCTCCTTCTCCCAAAACGCTAATCTCCTTTCTTCCTGTGTTTTCTTTCTTTGATTTAGAGTTTCTAGAGTTTCTAAACACAAAATCATCCCTTAATTAATTTCTACACCGATTAAATAAAATTAAAGACCCTTTTACCCCTAGACAAAATATAAAAATAAAGAAATAATATAACAATTATATTCTAACAAAAATATACACTTAAGAATACTAATATCCAAACAAAAACTCAAAATCTCAAAACTACTTTATTTTTAAAACCCATATTTTCTCGGATCTTACAAAATATATATATATATATATATATATATATATATATATATATATAATATTAATAATAATATTACTATTAATAATAATTTTTCAAAGGATGTCAGATTTGGTCGAAGAGTAAAGGGTATAATAACCATGTATCACTTTTTTTATCTATATAATATGAGAAAAAATATTAATTATTATGTTATGTTGACTTATTTTTTGAATCCAACATTTAGTATATATCCATCCAGAAGAAAAATTTGAGTGTTTCCTGTTACCTCAAATAATTTTCATAATCGTACATAAGCCTCTAGAATTATTTAAAATTACAAATTGACCTAAAATATTTTTCAGTAATTTTTAAATTGATCCTTACTTAATTGTTATTATTTTCAACTTAGTTTCTAAATATTTTTCATAATTGTAAATTAGTCCCTAACTAACTTATAATAATTACAATTAGTTCTTTAGTCAACTAATTAAGTTAAATTTTGTAAACACTTTAAAACCTCAATGTAAATTAATCATTTGATCCACCGCTATTAAACTTATAATGAACTTTGTTTCATATTTGATTTTCGCATCAATTTAATTAGGATTAAATATGTTTTTAGTCCCTCAACTATCAAGTGGATTTGTTTTTAGTCCCTCTTTCAAAGTAAGGTACATTTTAGTCCTCATCCTTAAGGAAACCTTAATTTTTGGTCCTCAAAAACTAACACCGTTAAAAACCAGCTGATGTGGCTAACGTCTGTGCACGTGTGTTCACAGCTCTTCTTCCTATCTCTTGCCACGTTGGTATTTTTTAATGCAAAGTGAGAATATTGGTTTATTAGGTTGATTGGTAAAGTTTACTTCAAAGTGTATTGTGAAGGGTGAAGAGTGAAGATGAGATCGTCATTTAAGGTGGAAAGGAGGTTGAAGAGCAAAAGGTTAGATTTGATGTTCTTGAACATTGGTGTAGTTAGTAACGTAAGTTCATATTTCTCTTTGGTGTGAATAAATTGATGGATTTTTCGAATTAGGTTTTGGGTTGGGACTAAAGGTTTCTTTCTTGATTAACTTTCGAAGGGAAATGAAAGCAGACAGTGGAGGAATTGGTTGCACACGAAGGAGCATTGGTTCAGGAATGTCCCAAACATCTGGATCCTCCTCTCACTTAGCTTCAAAAATGTGTGGTTGTGGGGAAAGATTGTTGGTGTTGAAGGCAACTACATTGAAGAAGAAAGGGAGACTATTTTATAGATGTAGAAATTGGGCAGTAAGTGAGAAAAAATGCTTTACTTATTGTGATGAAGTTTGTATTACTGATTTGTAATTTCTTTTGCAGAGTAGTGGAAGTTGTAACTACTTTGAATGGGTTGATGAAGGACATAATGAAATTGAACGAAGCTTACAATGGAAGAGTGAAGAAGTTGAAGTTTGTGTGGAAAATGTTGTATTGGATCTAAGGAAGAAGAAGGGTAAGTTGAAGAGGAAATTAGAGGAGGAGAGGAAAAATTTCCAAATGATGTTGGTCTTCTTTGTATTGTCATGGGCATTGACAATGATCTTATGTATTATGTTTGTTTTGAAGATAAATTGTAATTAGATTCGTAGTAGATAAATGTAGCAGAACTTTGAAGTTGAGTTATGGCATTATGTTTGTGTTATGTTAATTTGTATGAAGAATATTTGTGTGATTTAAAATAGAATGAGTTTAAACATATAATTGGTGTTGTATCAGTAAAGATGCAATTAAGCAATGCACTAAAGATGAAAAATGTAAATGATAGAGGAGGCTATGCTATCAAATGAAATAAATATGCAAGTTATCAAATGAAAATCTAAATCAGCATTTTTAAGCTGCTGGAATAGCAGAAAATTCAACTGGTAGAAGCTGCTGATACAGAATGCATCAAACCAGAATTAACACTACATGTAACACAGATTCAACAACTTTTTCAGAAAACAATAGTGTAGGAAATTGTGCAGTAAGGTATTGAAAATGCAGAGGTTGATTACATATCAAATTCTCTTTATCTTAACATGTTAAGTTAATGAACATAAACTTGTTTGCATTACTTTTTTTGATAGAATCACAGTATCTCAAAATTTGACTTGTGAAACCTCTTATTCCTTCAAAATAGGCAACTGTACCACTGAATCTTAAGTTTTTATCTCAAAATTGACTATGGACACTGAAATTAAGTGTAGGAAAACATTTTAAATCTGAGAAAGACACTACAAGAACAAATATAAGATGTTGAAGAATGATTTTCATGCACAGATAAAATAGGTCAAGATATGACCAAATCCACAGTGATTGTAAGTTTTAAACATCAGTTTAAAGTTGAAGCAGCTTTCAAATAGCACAAAAACTTCACTCTGAACAATAAAAGTGTGATTTTTAACTCATACTGCAACTGGGTTTGAACAAAGTGGCAGCAAATTTAAGTGTTTCAAGTATTTGAAGTTAAAGAGAGGTGTGCGGACTGTGATGTATAACAAATCAGCAATAAAAGTAACAAGTACTGGTCATTGTAGTGGTCCCTGAACAATAAAAGTGAACATTGCATTCAATAAGAAAAAGTGGTACAAAAAGTGGTCCCAGCCTACTTTAATTAACACTGCATGTGCTACTACAGGACAAAGAAGTGGTCCAAAAAAATGTACCCACTACAAATGGTCTGCCTAAGTGGGGCAAATTCAGTACATTAAATACTTCTTTACAAAAAGTCACATGCCTACACTACAATTTTAATTGCAAATTGCTTGGGACCCTATAATTTGTGCAGCCAGCCTTCCAGATGATCTTCTTCCCCCCTCACACATACTTGTAGCCCCTGCACCTACGCTAGCTCCCCTTGCTGATCTTGTTGGACCTTGTGATGTTGATGCAGCTCCTACATCTGTGCCACCTCCCCTTGCTGATCTTCTTGGACCTTGTGAGCTTGATGCAGCCCCTCCATGTGTTGTAGCTACCCTCCCTGATGGTCCAACACTTGAAGTTTGTTTGTTCCTCCAGATGATCTTCCAGTTGTTGTAGATGCTACCCTTGTCTTCTGTGAAAAGTGTAAGGTAGTTACAAATAACATACTTCTATGACCTTGAAAATGTAAATAACTGAGGATGAATAATTACCTTGCTTGTTGCCCCTTTTTACAACTTCTTACATTGTGTCCATATTGATTGCACCCACTACACTTCATACCAATATTTTTCTTGGACAACTTTGAATGGCTCACATATTCATCAACTTCTCGTCTTCTTAATTTTTTTGGCCTCCCAAGAGGTGTTTTGTAAATGGGTGGTAGTAGTGGTACAAAGTCAGATGTAGGCCAAAGTTGTTGTCAATTGATAGGAATTATAATAGGTGCATAACAAGTTTGGTAGGCGTCTTTCTTGTAATAAGGATCAACATGTTGTTCTGTAATGAATGGCAGCAACATGTCTACAAGGTATTCCTACTAAATCCCAAAAGTAACAAGTACAAGTGTGATTACTGAGATCAACTACAAACTTGTCCATTGTAAAGCCATGAGTAACTTCAACTTGTGAACCCCCTGCCCAAACTGGAAGCCAATTCCCACTCTTTTCAACTTCCCTATCCAACCTCTTTCTCGGTTTAGGCATAACATCACTAGGATATGTGTTAGCTTTTTCTCTAAGGGTTGCAAACCTACTCATTATGTATGACCGAATCCATTCCATCATTGTAATTATTGGTTTGTCTCTTGCCAGTAAAATGGTACTATTAAATGACTCAAACAAGTTATTGATCAACACGTCACATCTAGGATAAGCACTAAAAGCATGTTTACACCAAGATTTAGTTCGTATAGTCATTAACCAATTATAAGCATCATGATTCACATTCTTTAACTCACCTATTTTTTTTCCCCATTCCTGAATGTATGTTTCCTTGGCAGCCCTCATCATAAGGTCTCTAATGAGCAGGCCTCCACCAAATTTCTTCTTGTAGTTATTGTACAAATGGCGTAAACACAGCCTGTGCTCCACCCCATTCAAGATATCATAAAAAGTTGTCATTAATCCCTGCAAGCAGCAATGTCATTACATCATCCATTACTACATAATCAAATGAAAATTCAAACGAAAGTAAAATAGAATGTGTCAAAAACCAAGTAGCAATTTACCTTTTGCTGATCCGAAATAAAGATCCACCTTTGACAATCTATGCCCTCAATATCATCAAGCAGCAGTGTTAAAAACCACCTCCATGTGTCTTTACATTCATTTTCTACAACAACAAAAGCTAGTGGAAAATATTGGTCATTAGGGTCTCTTCCTACTGCCACTAACAACTGACCTCCACATGTTGTCTTCAAATGACAACCATCTACCCCTATGAATGGTCTGCAACTACCTAAAAAACCCTGCTTACAACCATCTAAACACATGTAAAATGACCCAAACCTTGGTGCCAAGGTGGGTTGGGGTTGATTGACCTTAATCTTGAAGGTTCTAGCCTTCACTCTTAACAACTCAGTCATATAATCATAAAGACGACCATATTTTCGTTTTCCATCACCCACTAAAGAATCCATTTTAATTTGCTTAGCTCTTTCTGCCTTCCAATGTGTTATTCCAACACTATATGATTTTTTTATTTCATCTATGATTTGGATCATTATCATGCCTCCTACATTCACAAATCTGTCAACCAATACTTGTGCAATCCATTGTACACTTGCACTTTTGTTACCAAAAACCCTTCCACATTTGTGCCCAACTAGAGTTTTCACTCTAAAGGTTTGCCTACCTCCTACCTTGCTAGCCATAATTAGAAAACCACATCCCTTCTTACAAACTGCCCTCACTCTCTTCAAATCATTCTTCACAAACTTCACTTCTTTTCCATTTAAAACGCTATGCTCCTTTAGCGCACTCTTAAAATCTTTCAAAGGCTTAAACTCCATTCCCAATTTAAATTTGAACCCCTTGGTCATATCTTCTGCTCTATACTTTACAAACTGCCTCTTATTCTCACTCACATCCTCATCACTATCTACATTTGAAGACAACTCATCTGTATTGTAATCTTCATTTATCTCATGTTGTCCAACTTCTTCGTTAATCATAAATGACCCCTCACTATCTTGGATTCTGCTCCTAAGAGTTTACTTTTTCTTTTTCATTCTCTTCCACCTATTCAAAACAGGATTAATATTTCTTCTCTCTTACTTCACCCTCTCATTCTCCATCCCAAACCCATCATCATCATTTGTCATTCTTTCCTCTTCACTGTCATCAACATTTTCAACCACTTCGCCCTCAACGACATTGCCCTCTTCCTCTTGCTCTTCCTCTTGCTCTTGCTCTTCCTCTTGCTCTTTCTCTTCCTCACCTATCTCTACATTATCTCCTTTAACATTCCTCTCTTCCTCTTCGTCATCCATTAGGAAGTCTTCTACTTCCACATTTCTCTCCACCCCACCAACATAAACATCTTCTTCACCTTCTTCAACAACATAAGCATGTTGATCATCCACAATAACCTCTTCCTCCATCTGATGAAAGCGACCTCCACCTTCAAGAATGGAGTGGCTTCTCGGTCTAGAAGTGGCAGCGGAATGGAGTTTACGAATGAAGTTGGCAGTGCTTGCAAGGTGTTTGATGAAATGTCTGGCAGAGTTTGGATGTGGTGTGAAGTGACTTTCTAACTCAGACGACCTTCCAAAGGGGAAGGGAGCTAGAGGGAGACAAGCTAAAACAACTTTAAGCAATGAACTTGAGAGAATGACTGGATTTCAGCAGCATTTCATTATCAAACTCAAGTTATCTTTTACAATGAATCAAGCTCTCTTTTATAGAAGAAGAGAAGCTTGGAGAAGTGCAAGGAAAGCTACATATTGAACACGTGCATGAATCTAGAAGAAGTGTGCAGGAGAAGTGTCACGGCTGGGTTCATGGTGATGAAGCTGGTCTGTTGTCGCTGAGCGACAGGTGCGCTGTGCGGTGGCAGCAGATGCACTCTTCATTGCTTCCTTTGTTCTCCTTTGCTTGGCTAGCCTGTCAAGGTGTATATGCATGGTTCTCCACCTTTATTGGTAACCTACAAAACATGGTAAAGATATTTAGTTAAAGAAGAACATGCTAAGACTTAGAAAGAAAAGATTAAGTCCTTATTCAACTTCCCTTTCCTGGTCTTAGAGTGAAGTTGATACTTCTTTGGATGGGAAGTCCTTAAAGGGGTTGCCATCACCATCTCCTCTACGTGTACTTCGTCTGCCTCTTCACCAAAACTAAGGAAGTTAACTTCAACTGGCTGACTGGGTTGGAGATGTTGGACATAGATTTCAACCTCATCGTTATGTGCCTCTGCATAGTTAGCCAACAACATTGCTTCATTGTCATCTGTGAGTATTCTGAGGTTGTTCATGGCCTTTTGTTTCGACCCCTTCCACCATAGCTTGAACTCTCCATCATACTTGAATTCTCTAACCAATCCCACTGCTTCAAAGTATGACCACATGTCAGCATCAATTCCTTTTATAACATGTATTTCTCCTCCGACATACTCTACTTCCTTATTCTTCATGAACTTCCCATGTGATGCAGAGAAACGTCAAAAACCATTTCTTCCTACATGGTAAAATAAAAAATTTACACACATAATGCACAGCAAACAAGTCACAGTAAACCAAAACTAGATAATTACCTTCTTCTTCGAATCGCCTTTCTTTGACACACAATGCACACGAACTGAAACCACAGCAATAGCGAAAGCAAATGCAAATTCAGAGAAGGAACACGAACCCTAAGTATTTTGAAGACACTTGTTACTAATTTTAAGTGTAGAACCCAAATTTCATTCACGTATATAAAAATCCCTAATTTTCTAAGTACAACAACCATAATTTCATTCGCGTCAAAAATATAATTAACATATGTCATGAAACAATTAATCACACGTGGCAAGAGATAGGAAGCAGAGCTGTGAACACACGTGCACAGACGTTAGCCACAACAGTTAGTTTTTAACGGTGTTAGTTTTGGGGACCAAAAATTAAGGTTTCCTTAAGGAGGAGGACTAAACTGTACCTTACTTTGAAAGAGGGACTAAAAACAAATCTGCTTGATAGTTGAGGGACTAAAAACATATTTAACCCATTTAATTATTGCAAATTTTGCAACTAAAATTTATAGTAATTATGGATTCTGTTAATAATTTCGTTAAAAAACCATTATTAAAAAGATTTGTAAAGATAATCAAGATAAATCACTTATATTTTTATTAAAAGAAAATAAACTTTAAGCCTATTTCAATTTCATAAAATCAGTTTGTAAAATAAGATTAGCACTCTCTTGTATATTTTAAATTAGTCTTATTTTTAGTCGATATGAAACTTCCACCACATCCCATAAAATAGATGTTAGAATATAATAAAACAAATTTAAAATTTTCTTCATTTTCAATTGAAACACATTATTTTAGGTTTAATACAGGTTTAAAATAACAAAATTATATGTTATAAACCTATTATTTGATCCCAATTGTAAAGAATAGAAATAAGAGAGCTAAAATCATATCTCTAACATATTTTCTTAACTCTTGATAAGAATAAGATGATTTTTTTACTCTTAGTTACTATTCATGCTATGAGAAGGATAAAGTTAAATTTTATATATATATATATATATATATTTCTTCGATTGCAACCTTTCAAATGTAATTGCAAGGATGAAAAAAATATATTTCCTTTGCAATATTAATAATTTTTTCTTTTTGTGAAAAGATTTGTCTCTAAATACAACTACATTTTTAAGAAAAGCTTTATTCTCCTCTCCTCTTCTTTTCCTTTCTTAGTCATGTAAATTTTTAGTCATTTAGTTTCAATTGATTAGAGTTACAATTAAGTTTTATTTTCTTCCTATTCTTATTAAATATTACTCCATAAAATATGATTTTCTCTCTTTTTAAACTTCTTGTGAACAACTTAAATAGAAGAATACGTAACTTTAANGAGATAAATTGAGAGATTTTATTACAAGGAAAAAGATAGAGATATAATAGAAGAAGATAAAAAGGAGAAGAGTAAAATAGGGTCGGTATTTTGTTACCCTAAAATCAAAAAACAAAATTTAGAAAGATAAGGGAGAGAAATGACGTTTTCTAAGAGAAAAGAGGAAGAGTTGTAGAAAACCTTAGTGCAAGGGAGGATCTATGGTGCTTTTGAAGTTAGATAAAACCCTAATATTAGCCAAGGTATGGGGAGGCTTACCATTGTTTGTTGTATGCTATGCCTTCTCGATTTACTTGCATGAAAATACTTGTTTAATATGTGTAATATGATTAAGATTATGATTATTTGTTGCTATTGTTGGGCAAGGGTTTGTGTGTGCATGAGAATAGGTTTTTGGTAATATTTGTGATGGGTTTTCCCTATGAATGTATTATGTATGTTTTGTTGGGTTATCCCAACAGAGGGTTTGATGCTAAGAGAGAACAAAGTTATGATGCTTGGAGGTTTCCATGCAAATATATGTTGTAAGTGTTGGGTTATTGGACTCCCTTCCTATTTGGAGAATAGGCCAAATAATATGGACCATTATGTCTCACTTTGTTTTAAAAGAGTTGGGTTAGATTACTAGGGCACACTAGAGTCATTTGAAGAGACGGAAAAACCAAGTGGAGAGAAAGAAAGGGAAGAAGTCATTTCTGCATAACACAAAATCTGCACTGGTGTTTTCGTCGTTGTGAAGTCATTCACCATTGGATCAGGTTGAGTTTTGGATAATGGGTGCCAAGCGTATGGTTCTTCATTCTGACCATTCAGATCATCAATGGGAGGTCTAGTTTGGGAGAAATCAGCCTCGCATCAACAACTCTGTTTTAGAGAATTTTCATCTTNATAACATAGGAACAAAGTTCGAGCCCAACTTAATTTGGGTTTGGTTTGACCCAAAATTGTTTGAAGTGGGTTTGACGATAGTTGACCTTATCACAACCTCAATTAGCATGAAATTATTGAAACTTGACTTGACATCGACTCAACGTGGTTCTGACTCGACTAACATAATGTGGATATAACTTGACTCGGCCCGAAGTGGGCCAAATTAACTTGATTTGGTGTGGATCAAACTAAACTAGACCCAAAATCTAATTGACTTAACTAGACCCGACCTAGTTTGACTTTCTTCGTTCTAATATGAACATAACTATACTCGATCCAATGTGGATTTGACTCGAATAAGCCTACTCATAACTCAATTAGAGGTAGGTCCAACTCAACTTGACTCAGCCTAAGGCAGGCCTGAGCTAACTATACCAAATGTGGGTCTGACTCAACTCTATCCAAGGTGAAGTTGACTTGACTTTACCTAAGGTAGACCCATTACAACTCAATTAGAGGTGGGCATGACTCACCTTGGCCCGAGGTCAACTTAACCTAACTTGGCTCATGCTAGACCCAAACCACCTTGGCCTGAGGTGGTCTTGACATAACTCGGTCAAGCTGGGCCTAACTCAACTTGACAAAAGTTGGGTTTGAATATACATAGGACGAGGTGGACCTAACTCAACTAAGGATGAGGTGGACCTAACTCAACTTAGCCTAAGGTAGACTCAACTCGACTTAGCATGAGGTGAACTTGGCTCATAAGTGGCTTGGCTTAACTTGGATTGAGGTAAGCTCGACTTGTAAGATCTAGGAAAATAGGGGTTTTAAAAAGAAAGTAGTTTTGAGACTTTGAGTTTTTGTTTCGAAATTAGTGTTATTGAGTGTATATTTTTGTAAGAACATAATTGTTTTTTTATTACTTTATTTTTATATTTTTGCCTAGAGGAAAAAGAGTCGGTTACCTTTATTTAATTGGTGTAGAAATTAATTAAGGGGGTAGAAAGGAAAAGCATGCAAATTAAATAATTTTGATATTTAATAAAATGATATTATGTAAATCTTTTAGAAGATTTAGTTGTTGTTATTTTAAAAATTAGTTAAATGAAAATANATTACTAGAGCATATTAGTATGTCCACATTATTTTCTATTTTAGCTACAAAATAGTTTAGATATCATACATTAAAATTTAAAGATAAAACGCCAAGAAAAATGTAAGAAAAAAATAACATCTGAATT